AGTCAAATGCTGACATATTTATTATTTTATTTTAGCATAACATATTTATGCTAAAATAAAACATTATATAGTATATATTACTGTATTACATACTGTATATATGATAGTATAACATTTTTAGATAATATAGTTGGAGAGTTGTGGGATATATATAAAAAGAATACACGCAATAATGGTTTAAATTTTTGTAGATTTGTGAAGTGTTATTTTTCTTTTAGCATTTTGGATGAAGGGAAAGTGATTTGTAAATGATGTCTCATCAAACTAATTTCTGTAATTAATTTAAAGTAGGATATTTGCTTAAGATGTGGATGATGGATGCTTTTGGAAGATATTAGACTAATATTAGTGTTTTGTTTTGAGTTGGGGTCTCGCTCTATCACTCAGGCTGGAGTGCAGTGGCCTGATCATGGCTTACCACAGCCTTGACCTCTTGGGTTCAGACGATCCTTTCTGTCTCAGCCTCCCGAGTAGGTAGGACTACAGGCATGTGCCACCACGCCCTGCTAATTTTTAAATCATTTTTGTAGAGATGAGGGTCTAGCTTTATTGCCTAGGCTAGTCTTGAACTCCTGGGCTCAAGCCATCCTCCTGCCTCGGCCTCCCAAATGTTGTGATTACAGGTGTGAGCCACTGTGCCCAACTAGACTAATATTAAACTGCATGTCTATTTTTCTATATATATCACACCTGTGGGCAACTCAGGGTTCTATTTGCCTAGGAACTTAGTTGGAAAGTGTTAAGTAAAACATCCGCATAATTATGGGTCTTTTGATTTTAAAAAAATAATTAAATTTCCACAACTTTCTAAGTCTACAAGATGATGTTGAGCAGCAGATCATGAATACATCTTAATTTATTGATTAAGTGTGTGCAGATGTAAGAATAAAAATAATACATCCCTCATTAACATGTAGTTTGTGTTTACGTTTGGTAAATCACAGGTGGCCCAGCAATCAAAGGCAATTAGCATTTTTTTTTAGCTTTGGAACTTTTCCTTGCTTTAAAACGGTTTGAAACTCCCAGCCATTTCAGAACTCAGTTTAGCTAAACGTATAACTGTTATGGTGTTATAGAATTTAAAGATATAAACTAACTTCCTTGATTCTTTTAGAACCAATATTTATGGCCAGAAGGACTGATGATCTCATTCAGATTAAGATAATATTTCTGCTAATTCTGAGATGGGAATGAAAAGCATTTCCTGTAAAATGACAGCAATAGTAATGTTTAAAAACATGATAATACCTTTTTCTGATAAGGTAAGAAATTCTCCTGGGCTTAAAAAAGAAAAAAAGAAAAAATAGAAAAGTATGAATAAGAAAATAAACTTACCTGCAATTCCAGCACTCAGGTACATCCACTGTTACCAGTTGTTTATATGTTGTTCATACTCACCATTTCTCTCTGCTAGGCCTGATGTGATGGCCAGAGGGTGCGTGACCTCATTGCCCCTCATTACTTTTTCTCATTCTTCCTCTGTCCCCTTAAAGCATTCGGCTTTGAATTGCATGCTATCACCTGATACCACTCACCCACCACTCCTCCTTGTAGTTGTCATCGTGACTCACCATATCCTCTATCTCCTGGGCTGAGGTGATCCTTCTGCCTCAGCCTCCCAAGTAGCTGGGACTACGGGCACATGCCACCACACCTGGCTAATTTTTTTGTACAAACAAAGTTTCACTATGATGTCCAGACTGGTTCTGAGCTCCTGTGCTCAAGCAATCCTCCCACCTTGGCCTCCCAAAGTGCTGGGATGGCAGGCATGAGCCACCGTGCCCAGCTAGACTGATATTAGGCTGCATGTTTATTTTTCTCTATGTAGCATACCTATGGACAGCTTTCCTTATTCTTTTTAAGATTTAGTCACTCTCTCCAACACTTTTTCAAGATCCACATAGTACATCTTTACAGTAACTTGGCCTCTCAGTTCTACCACCGCTGGCCACTTTATTCTGAGATTATACCCTTGACTAGTGGCTTTCAATGGAAGGCAATTTTGCCCCGTAGGGGATATTATCCACAGACAGTTTTGGTTGTCTCTGGGGAGGTGCTACTGGCATGTAGGGGGTAGAGGCTACAGATGCTACTGATTATCCTACAATGCACAGGACAGCCTCCCAGAACAAAGAATTATGAGCAAAATGCCAGTAGGGCTTAGGGTGAGAAACCCTGCTGGAATGTGAAGATAGTTAATATACTCACTATGGCACCTTCCTGAAGAATAATTGTCAGAATAACTTCCTAACCTAGATGTTATGTCATACTTTAGACTATTGGGTGACTTTCTGTGAGAATCAGATGCTGAGATACAGTCACAACTGAACCATTATTCTCAGAATGAAATAACAGCTTGGTGCTTTTTAATATTAGCACCTTCTCTGTCAATCTGACAGTACCATTAACATGAGTAATGAGTTAACATATAACCTAGTGAATCAGACCAACCAAATGTAGGAAAGGCAGATTCTATACAGGAAATCCTTTCAAAGAAACAGTTTTTGGTTTTGTTTGTTTGATTTTTGAGGTAGAGTCTCATTCTTTGGCCTCGGCTGGAGTGCAATGGCATTATTATGGCTCACCACATCCTCAACCTCCTAGGCTCAGGCGATCCTTCTGCCTCAGCCTCCCAAGTAGCTGGGACTACAGGCATGTGCCATCATACCCAGCTAACTTTTTTTATTTTTGTAGATAAGGTCTTGCCATGTTTCCCAGGCTGGTCTCAAACTCCTGGACTCAAGCAGTGCTCTCGCCTTGGCCTCCCAAAATGCTAGGATTACAGGCATGAGCCACTGTGCCTGGCCTCTGCCAAGAGACAGTTTTTATTATTTTTTAAAGCATGCAATTTTATTCTTAATGATACTATACTTGGTGTGAGACTGTGGCTTCACCCTTCTTTCTCATCCTCCATGTTCTGTTTCCTTTGAGTTGATTAAAAGGTCTTTATAGACAGATTTTTTTTCTCACAAAGGAGAAACCTCTTAATCAATTCAAAGGCTAGAAAGTAGCTTATCATATTCTGTGGGCTTGGAAAGCCCTGCCAGAACACCCCTGTGGTGCCCTTATAAACTGGAAAAATAGGAACATTGATGATATCGTATGTTGAAAGTGATATTGAGCCCCCAAAATGCTAACACAAATGAATAATGTAAATTTTCATAGAATCAATGGCTTTGCTTAGCTCCAGTCCTTTTAATTGTTAGTTTTTGGGTGCTTTCTTCGGGCCTATTATTAGACCTCTGTTCTCATAAAGGGACTGAGGAAAGCTTATTTTTTCACTAGGGGAAAAATTCATTCTGTGGTAACAATTGTAGTGATAATAAATTTCTAGTATTCATTGCTATTAGGGTACAGATAGGGTGAGGGTGGATGGATGGATGGATGGAGAGGCGGGGGGAGGTACAGCACTCCCGGAGCCAGTGGGCCGGAGGTACACGCTGACACCCAGAGATCCGAGTAATGCAAAAATTGCAACACACAAAGAGGTGAAAGAAGAAAATATTTATTTAAAAAATGTTCACTTCCCACAGACAGGAAGCAGGCCTATACTCTAGATGAGTGTGGCCCCGTAGCCCCCTTGAGCCCTAGGTTAAATCCTTTTCCTTGGAGATGTTGCAATCAGGTAGGTGTGATTACCGCAACTTCCTTATTGACCACCTGCAAATGTCTTGGAGACCCTGTGACACAGAGACCCATTAATGTCTGTCCATATTATCATAGCCCCTAGAGAAGGGCGTGACAAGTATTCTAGTTTGGGTGCTCCTGTACCTTCCTGAACAACATTCCTTAGAGCTAATGGAGGGTGCACTTCCCCTTATCTCCTGTGCATTCCCAGTGGGTAGCTTCAGGGGATCCTTGGCTTCCCTTTAGATAGGGCCCAATCTACTGGAAGATCGAATCCCTACCTGCTCCCCCTCTGAGTGGTCACAAGTCCCGTGATCTGCATAACTTTTGTAATTACAAGTTTCATGACTTCTACAATCCTTGCCCAATGCATGATGTCTTAGGCCTTGTAAATTCTCTTTACTCTAGGTAAGCCTGATTGCCACTTCTGCCAGGCCCCACTGACAAAAGCTATAAGACACCTCCAATACCTGGCACCAGGAAGTCTGTGTTTCTGAAAAGACAAAGTCGGCAAGGTTAATTTTTACCTAAAGTATGCATTTCTCCAAAACATAGCTTAATTTTCTCATCATTGTATTAGGGTTTAGGAACACGATTAAAAAATGCATTTCCCACTCTCAGTTTGTCCTTTTAGTTGCTACAGTGGGGAATTATAGTTGATACTACAGAGAGTGCAGATATGTGAATGCTGACCTTTTCATTCTGAGAAGTTGAAGGTAGTGGTATTATGTCTACTTAAGTAGTTCTTGGAGGAGAAAAGACTTGTGGGTTGATAGTTAGGAATGGAGAACAGCATATAGAGGGTGGCAGCATGAGCCAAGGCTACAGATAGGTTCTAGCATTTGTGGGCACAAGTTTTGGTGCAGAAATACACCAGGTGTAACATGAAAGATAGGTCCTTGCTACATGGTCTGCCCTCTGGGCTGCCCCACCAGTGACTTTGCCCTTGTAGTTGTTGCTTCTGCTAGGTAATCACAGATCATGTTGGGACTCTTTGGAATCGGGATGAGTTCTTCTCTTGCCTTTACATGTAAGTATCCAGAAGGATCGGAAACAGAAGCTCTGAATCATTCCTTCATTGTACTATCCCCATTGGAGGGTGTGTGGATATGACCCTGCAGTTCTGGGCGCTTGCATTCAATGTAGCTCTGGTTATGACTGGGTCTTACGTGATTTTTCTTCAGTGGCAGTCACAGATAAATTACCTGGTGTCTTTATACTAACCGTCACATTAGCTCTCCCTGCCCAGTCTTTCCTTGTGTGGTCTCAGCTGGCAAATAAGAATGTCACAGTCTGAAAACTATTCAAGTTAGCTATTAGGTTGCTAGATGAAGCATGTTTGCCAAGATGAGTGTTGTTTTCTCAATTTACAGGCGAAGCCCTGATATCCAAGCAAAAGAAGAGTTATGGAAGCATATTCAGTAAGTACCTTTTTTTTCTCATTGTTTGAGGGCCCTTGCAGTTTTAATGCAGTTATAAGAAAGACCCCTGGCGCTCAGAGGCAACCAGGCTGAAGCCTGCCCAAAGCCTTCTTTGTCATGACTGTGTGGTATGTGGGGCACTGGTGGTCACCAGGCCAGCAGTAGCCAGGCAGCCCTGACATCTCCTCACCTAAGGTCATTTAACCAAGGTCATTTAGCCTCACCTGGAAATGGACCTCAGGCCAATAGTTTACAAATAAATACCAAGGAAAACAAATTCAGAAGAAAAAAGACACCTACATAGGGGAGAGAAGTAGATCTTTTATAGGGGAATGGGGAATGACTAAAGAGTCTGTATGTGGAAGAAATTGAGAGAAAGCAAAAGAACTACAGAAAATGTTTTCCTGTTTTTCCTAGAACCCATTTTTAGTTTTTATATCTTTGTCCCTGACTTATATTAGTTTTACTATAAGATTAGAAAAGGAAAATTCACCTGCCGATTGTGTAATGTATTAGCATTTATACCAGCATCGCACTAGAATTTTCTTGCTTATTTCCTGTCTAGAAAGGAACTTGTGGATCCATCAGGATTGTCAGAAGAACAATTAAAAGAGATTCCATATACTAAAATAGAGTGAGTATGTCTTTGAAAATCCTCTTACAAACTTTATTCGTGCTTCTGAATGATCCATTTTTACTCTTCAGTTGTGTTCCACGAAGTACTTGTCTTTACCCTTTAACCAAAATTAAGTGACTGTAAGGAAAGAGGTAGAAAAGGATGTTATTAAAGCTGCTTATTCTGCACTGCAAATGCAGTCGCTTCCTGTTAGCTGCTGTTTGTACTTGGTAGGCACAAGAGGGCTTTTGATGATTACTGTCAGTTTTAAAATAATTTTTTTGGTATTCATAGGTAACAAAATTAATTTTTATGTATTATTTTAACATAAGGAGAATTATGTCAACACAAACTCCCATCACTTAAGCCCAGTCCAATCCCTATCATAGAACTAGCATACTGAACGGGCTTCATGAAAGCATAACAGGATTCCCTAGTAACCAGTACCCTAGTAGGATGCGCCGTGACTAGTTTTACTGTGTTCTCTGCCTTGGTTTAAGACAAAGTGAGTGCCAGCTTTATTTCCCTTTTGTAACCCATGTTTCTTTCCCACTCCATTCCAGTGGCAGTTGGTACATCTCCGCCACTCTCTGACTCATCTTTAGGCCAGATTTGAATTCTTTTTTTAAATTTGTGGTCTCACTGTGTCACCCAGGCTGGAGTATAGTGTCACCATGGCTCATGGCAACCTTGACCTTCTGGGCTTGGGCAATCCTTCCACCTCAACATTCTGAGTAGCTGGGACTACAGGTGTGCACCACCATGCCCAGCTAACTTCTTGATTTTTTTTTTTTTTTTGTAGAGACGAAGTTTCACTCTGTTGCCCAGGTTGGTCTTGAACTCCTGGACTCAAGCAGTCCTTCTGCCTTGACTTTCTAAAGTGCAGGGTTATAAGCATGAGCTACTGTGCCTGGCCTGAATTATTTTTTAAAATTAAGGTATAGTGTACAGTGTGATGTTTTGATATATGTATACATTGCAAAATGATTAAATCAAGCTAATTAACATATCTATTATTACCTTTTCGTGGGGAGAACATTTAAGATCCATTCTCTTAGCAATCTTTCAAGTAAAGGTTGAATCCTTCATGTTAGTAGACAATGACGAACTTTCTTTGATAGAAATGCCATTTTGTCAACATTGTAGTTTTTTTCTTCCACACTACTAGAAAGAATTCAACTGTGGGGAATAATTTCATTTAAAATCTGATAGTTAAAATTTGATAGTTAAAAACACGTGGAATACTGTAAGGAGCTTCATTTTCACGTATGGTCAAGGGAGCACTTTTCTTTTGTTAACTTGTGAAATGTAAGTCATTCAGGCTTTCAAAGCCCAGAAGAGTCAAGTTCCTTTTTTTTTTTTTAACTTTTTGATTGAGGTAAAATATTGAATTTACCATCTTTACTATTTTTAAATGTACAGATCAGTGACAATAATGCCCTTATATTCTTTTTTCCCCTTCATCTCTTGTTCCCCTCTCCCTGCCCTGGCCTCTGGCAACCACCAATCTACTCTCTGTCTTCATGAGATCCATTTTTTTAGCTCCTGCATATGAGTGAGAAGATGTAATGTTTGTCTTTCTATGCCTAGATTATTCCACTTAACATAATGTCCTTCAGTCTCATCCATGTTGCTACAAATGACTAGATTTCATTCTTTTTTATGGCTGAAAAAAGATTCCATTGTGTATGTATACCACGTTTTCTTTATCCCTTAATCTGTTGATGGGCATATAGATTGATCTGTATCTTGCTGTTGTGAATAGTGCTGCATGGTAGCCGGGCGTGGTAGCTCAAGCCTGTAATTCCAGCACTTTGGGAGGCCAAGGAGAGAGGATTGCCTGAGCCCTGGGGTTTGAGACCAGCCTGGGCAACTTGGTGAGACCTCGTCTATACAAATAAATCAAGAAATTAGCCAGGCATGATGGCACACGCCTGCAGTTCCAGAAACTTGGAAGGCTGAGGTGGAAGAATCACCTGAGCCCAGCAGGTTGAGGCTACGGTGGCCGTGAGCTTGCCACTGCACTCCAGCCTGGGTGACAGAGTGAGACTCCAACTCAAAAAAAAAATTAATTAATTAAAATAAACATTGGAGTGCAGATCTTTCTTCAATATATTGATTTCCTTTCTTTTGAATATATACCTAGTGGGATTACCGGATCATATGACAGTTCTACTTTTAGTTTTTTGAGGAACTTCCATACTGTTCTCCATAAGGCTGTACATAACAGTGTACGAGGGTTCCCCTTTCTTCTCATCTCACCAGCATCTGTTATTCCTATCTTTTTGATAAAAGTTGTTTTAAGTGGGGTGAGATGATATCACATTGTGCTTTTGATTTGCATTTGTCTGATAACTGACGTTGAGAAACGTCTGTTCGGATCTTTTGCCTGTTTTTAAATTTGAATTTTTTTTTCCTTTGCTGTTGAGTTGTTTGAACTCATATATTGCAGTTAGTAATTACTTGTCAGATGTCAGGTTCTTTTGAAAACTCGTGCAAGTCATTATTTCTTTGCGGTTTCAATATTAAGGAAGAACTACAAGTTATCTGTTCTGACTTCTGGGGTTTATGCCCATGTGTTTTGGTTGCTTGTTCAGGACTCAAGGTGACCCAGTCCGCATCAGGCATTCTCATTCGCCACGAAGCTACCGCCAGTATCGCAGGTCCCAGTGTTCAGATGGAGAGCGATCCGTTCTGTCGGAAGTGAAGTAAGTGGGCCGGCCTTGAGTACCTCGCCGCTACCATGGCGCCACAACAGCCCAGTCCAAAAGATGTGCGGATGGAAACGTTCTGTATCTACACCGTAGCCCTCTTCCAACTTAATTTCCGATACTAGGCACTGTTCCAATCATTAATTCCAAAACTCCCTCTCTGCAGTTCAAAAACAGATCTCGTACCGCCACTGCCGGTGACCCATTCTTCGGATGCCCAGGGTTCCGGTGGCTCTACAGTTCAGCAGGTTAGTAACAGTACGGTTTTAAGATGTTTTACCGACACAATTTTGAGAAGCACTTTGTGCTTTGGGGAGGGAAGGCAGTGAATCTTTAACTTCATTCTAAGAATTCCATATTTTAAAAGAACGTGTAGAAAACACAGAAAGAGAGGAAGGAGGAATGGATCTGGGAAAGAGTTATGTTAGGAATAAGAGGAAGAGGTAGTAGGGCAAAGCCAAGGATAATAAAGATTGTAAGACCGTTTGGAACCAGAAAAAGAAACAATAGCTGCACTAATTTTTTTGAGCCAGAGGAACAAAGAGAAAGTTACAGACTCACAGGGGCCAAATGCTCTACTGTTAACTGACAGCAGAAAGAAGAATGACTCAAGTCTTATGTTATCTCTGTCTTCTCCATCAAAGACAATTGCTTTCATCCTGGAAATGTTTAAAAAATGTGGTTAAAAGGAATTCAAGGACATAGCAGGAGCACCTGGCTGCCTTAACAAGGTCAATTTAACACTCAGCTGAATTAGATATTTCAGAAGAGTACCATAGCAAACATAATTCAGGATGGTGTTTGACACCATCTCTCATGGTATATTTTTTAATAAGATGAAAAAAAAACGTGGGCTGAATAAGACAGTTGGAAGGATTTCTATCTGGTCAAACCACCACTCTTAAAGTTATTTATGACGAATCAGTGTCAGCCTATTGTTTCCAGTGTTACGGTTTTCATTCTGGTTTGGATCATGGATGCCTTAAAAGAGCCAGTTATAACTACTCTCTCTCTTCTCATAAAAATGCAGGCAAGCACATAAATAGCTTTGCATATAAATCCAGGGAGTTCATGGACTGTCTGACTGAGAAGCCAGACACCAGCAGTATCCATCATGTGTTGCCCTTTGTTTGCCCTGTTTCATTTTTATCAATGACATGCTAATTTTGGTTAGGTTCCCTAGAAACAGATTCTTAGATGGAGATCTGCACTCAGGAAGTTTATTGGAAAGCGCCCTTGGGACCAGCACTTTTTGGGGAGTGAAAAAAGAGAGGTTTGGGGTGGTGGCAAGAGTTATCTCTTAGGAAACTCTGGAGCTGAGGTGGCTCTTCAGTTCATCTACCTCGAGACAAGGGGGTTGAACCTTTACATGCTCACACTCACCATACAGCAGTCAATGGATACTCCGGGGAGGGCGTTCTCTTCAGCAGAGGGCAGTTTGTGAGGAGGGGCTCAGTTCTGAGCTGCAAGCCAGGCACCAGTCCCAGCAACTGGAGGAATGAATGTATCAGTCTGGAATGGAGATTTGAACAGTAAACACAGCTTCTCTCTGGGCATGGTGGCTCACACCTGTAATCCCAGCACTTTAGGAGGCCAAGGCAGGCAGAATGCTTGAGCCCAGAAGTTCAAGACCAGTAATGGCAACATAGCAAGACCTCATCTTTACAAAAAAAAAATTAGCTGAGTATAGTGGTGCATGCCTGTAGTGCCAGTTACTTGGGATGCTGAGGTGGAAGGATCACTTGATCCCAGGAGGTCAAGGCTGCCGTGAGCCATGATCACAACCGTGATCATGCCACTGCACTCTAGCCCGAGCAACAGAGTGAGACTCTGACTCAAAAACAAACAACAACAAAAATAGCTTCTACTACAATCTGCATAAGCTTTGATTAGATAAATCAGGGAGAGCGAATAGATTGTCCAGACAATATGTTTAAAGTGGATAGCAAATTTTCAAAATTATTTTCATAATTAAGATTTCAGTTTTGCATTCAGATCAACCTGTGTACTCTTTGTGTGACTTTGAGCCTACTGCTTAACTTCTAAGCCTCAATTTCTCTATAGTGTAGATAACCTACCTCTTAGGGTTATTGTGTGATTAATAAGCAGTTATCTTTCAGAGTTTTTGTCTTCAATTTTAGTTGGTTTCAATACAAATAGAAATTTTTATTTCCATTCAGGAATCTAAAGACAACTTAGACACATTATGTTTTGAAAGGATAGCTTTCACTTTGCTGGCACAAGAACAAATCACATACATCTTCTGATCAATGGCACTGATTCTAAACCTGTCTCTGAGACATCTTTGATTTTGAATTCAACAAATATCCAAGGACCACATCTAAGGAGTGTCAAGTACTGGTCTGAATAGTCAGCAGACCATGGCCTGTGAACCAAATCTAGTCTGCTACCTGTTTTTGTGCAGCTCAGTAGCTAATAATGGTTTTTACACTTTTAAAGCACTGTTTGGAAAAAAAAAAAGAAAGAAACCAGTAATATGTGGCACAGATGGGATGTAGTTTACAGTCTGGCTCTTTACAAAAAAAAGTTTGCTGACCTTTGTCTAGATATATAGTACATAAAGTAAACAGGTAAAACAACTGGGAGTACACATTACAAGAAAACTAAGGCCTGAGCTAGAGAACCAACAGGGTGACCTCACTTTAGATATTTAGGGTGGTCAGAGAAGGCCATCTCAGAAATTGGTCTTGAAAGCTGAGACCTAGCAGGTGAGAAGGAGCCAGCCAGTGAGTGGGTGGAAGGGCCATCTGAGGGAAGAACATGGGGAAAATGTTGACTCTGGAAGGGACCTGGGGATTTGAGGAGCTGAAAGACCAATATGGACTGAGCATCGTGAGGGGAAGATCACTCAGGGCCTTGAAGGGTGTGGGAAGAGTTTGAGTTTTATTCTAAGTGCCAAGAGAAAGCCACTAAATCTGGCTGTCATGTGGAGAAGGGGTTGGAGTGACCAGTGGAAGCAGAATTGTGTTTCCTAAGGTCCACCATGATGTTGCCCAAGTTCTGGCAGTGGCCTGCCCTGCACTTCACTTCTCCTTTTCACACAAAGCCTGCTAAGAGTGGGGTGGATTTGGGACTTGCTTCAGTTTACTTAATTAGTCCTTAAGGTCTGCAGACAGAAGGGACAATTTAATCCTAGATAAACTTAACAAGGTATTGTTTATTTTAGGTCACTTCCCAGCTCCTTTTCTGAATATATATGGTTGTTGTTTTTTTTTTACCCGGAGTGTCACTCTGGGTCAAGGTTGGAGTGCAATGACTGATCACTTTAGATATTTAGGGTGATCACCACAGCCTCGACGTCCTGGGCTCAGGCAGTCCTTCTGCTTCAGCCTTCCAAGCAGCTGGGACAACAGGTACATGCCACCACGCCCAGCTAATTTTTTTTTATTGTAGAGACAAGATCCTACCGCGTTGCACAGGCTGGTCTGGAACTCCTGGGCTCAAGCAATCCCTTTGCCTCAGCCTCCCAAAATGCTGTGATTATAGGCAAGAGTCACCACTCCTGGCCTTGCTATGTAATCGTTATGTTCTTCTCTCACAGGCACTGATATCCTCTTCCTGCCACCTCTGGCTGCCTAGCAATCTTCCATCCCAAATAGAATTATACTTCCCATGCTAGGCAGAATTGCTATATATCAGTGCTTTTTTGAATGTCAGTAAAACAAATTAAGTCTGTCGTAGGAACATATGAAAGATAACTGCCTTTTTTTTTTTTTTTTTTTTTTTGGAGTTGGAGTCTCACCCTGTCAACCAGGCTGGAAGGCAGTAGCATGCTCCTGGCCACCACAGCCTCGACCTGCTGGGCTCTGGGGATCCTTCCGCTTCAGCCTTCCAAGTAGCTGGAACTATAGGCACGCACCACCATGCCTGGTTAATGTTTTTGATTTATTACAGTGATGAGGTCTCGCCAAGTTGTCCAGGTTGGTCTTGAACCCGCAGGCTCGGGCAGTACTCTCACCTTGGCCTTCCAAAGTGCTGAGATTATAGGTGTGAGCCACCACACCTGGCCGATAACTGCTTCTTATAGGGTGGTTATGTTTAGCCCAAATGAATTTCAAATTCTATACATGTGTAGCCCATTTTGTGTGGTGATACAGTTTTGGGGAAGGAAATATGCTTGTTACCCTGATCTGACAGGTTAGGCCATCTCTCTAGAAGGTAAGAGTCGTAGGGGTGAGCAGAGGCCTGTTTTAAGATCCTGTTAGTGTCATTTTCAGAACCTCTATCTGTGCTGGTGGGAGATCTACAAGACCTACTAATTCCAGAAGTTCTGGGTGTGGTACCCAGGCTCTAGTGTCTTAGCTCGTTTCTCCATATGGGGCACTCATACTACAAGTCTTTCCCCCTCTCCCCCCCCAGCTGACAGGATCTTCTGGCTCCAAGTGACAGGAGACAGTAGGACACTGTACTATACATAAGACATTGCTTCAATCAGTGACTGCTGAAATCAGGATTATAAATTACCTCCAACTTTCCATCTCTGCCCTGCTTGGAAAAGTAGGAAGGTTGAGAGCCTGGTTTAGGAATTATTCACAAAGGAAATGACATTTATTTGGGTGAATTATGCCTAATTTCATGAATAAAGTCCTCATGCACAAAACTGTCAGACTATACATTAAACGATTAAACATATAAACTTTGTTGTTTATCCTGCAGTTAACTATCTGGACGGATTATTTGTTGAACAGCTTTTGGTATTGTGAAACTTTTGAATTATAACTTGGTATCTTAAATTTAAGAGCAGCTTAGTTTGATGTATTAATAATAAAAACTTGATTTGGCTATATTTCCTTCTGAATTTATATCTTTCAAATGTATGTTATTTTAGAGAAGAAATGGGTCTAAAGATAGCCTGATTGAAGAAAAATCTCAGACATCTACAAGCAATCTGACTGGAAAACACACTGCAAAGACAATAAAAACCATCCAAGCTTCCCGCCTCAAGATAGAGACTTGATCCTGGTGAAGGGTGAGGGGTGGGGTGGGAAGGGTGTGTGCGACTGGTACTTTTAAACTGTGAATTAGATAATTTGATTCAAGTATCTTGGACCTGCAAGTGTTTCTTCAGCACAGGAAAATAAGCATTCTTTTGCTTCTTTTAGCAGTTTAACTACAGCGTACTTGCGCCAAAGGGACTTTTTAACTGGAAGATACTAGTTTTGTAAAAGTCACTTGATGCCACATTTTCCTTCCTGAAACAGGACAACCATTCGGTTCTGAGCATCTTGTCTGTCTACTGCAACCAAGACCAGATGCATCTGATCAACATTCTAGAATTCTGGACTGCAGCTAGCTTGCTGTGCATTCGTACCCCAAGTGGGAGGAAAGTGGTTTTCTCCCCTCTGGGTGGTTCTCAACTAGTGCCCAGATGCACAAGAACTGAGGCATCACTTTCAGACTGCAGATATTTTTATTCATACAACTATTAAGTTCTTTGTAATACTGTATTTTGTGGTGTTCTACATGATGTAAAAAGTTTTTTTTTTTTGAGTGTTGCTTTTAATTTCTGAAGTGTCCTTGTGTGTTTTCAGAGTCTGTGGATTTCAGTTAACCTGCCCCTCATCCTTAAATGGTCCTTCTATTCTGCCTGGCCACCCAACCCATGAGCTCTCCCCAGTGTCTACTTCAGACACATAATTTTGCAGCCTACAGGGAAAATCAATGTACAGGACATATCCTCCCCTTATCACAAAGCCCTCTCCATAGCTGTCGTCAACCCTCTTTCCTGTCCTCCACCTGTGCTTTGGATGGCATCCCTCCCAGCCTTCTTGGGTTATTCCTGTTGTCTCTGATATTAATGTATCCACCCTTTCAGATAGATCCTTGTTACCTGGTCTTAAGACTAAGATCTAATAAACAAACCATCTTCCTCAACCACGCATCCCTCTCTAGCTATCATTTTCCTCTCGTTTTCAGCTAATTTTCTTAAAAGGATTATCAATTCACTTGTCAGTGCCCTCAATTTTAAACTATCTCCAATACAGATTTTTTCCCCCACTACTCCACCAAAATCACTTAATTTCTTGTATGTAACCCTACTTTTCCTCCTACCATCCTGACAGCTTAACTAGTTCAGACCCACCCTCTCCCAAGCAGATGTCACTTATACCCATGGCCTTAAGGTTTATTTCTGTAGCTTAGACCACCAAGTAGTATTTGACTGCAGAGGCCACTTCCACTGGAAGAGGACTTAACAAAACTGATTCAACTTCAGCTGTTCAAATGCTGCCCCACAGCTGGATCTAATAATATGCTTGTCAGTGTGGATGCTAGACACCCACCAGTTATGGGCTCCTTCAGTATTGGCAAGTCCCGTCAGCTGTCCTCAGCCTTCTTTCACTAATTTCCTCAATGGTCCTAGGTGGCCGTCTTTCGCCTAGACAAGAGTAGCAGCCTAATTTGACCACCTTTTCTTGCAAATCTAATTTTCTACTACAGGTTTTTCTTGCTTGAATAAAGCTGGAGAAAGTGGTCTGGCTGCTTTATCTACCTCTTCAGCCTCAGCTTGTAGCACTCCTATGTTCCATGGCCATCTAACAAGCCTCATTAAGAAAAAATAAAGCACTCAATTCTTAAACCAGAACACTGAAGAGGGAAAGCAGCCCAAACTGATAGATGTCTTTTTTCTAGCCCAAGGCTTCTGCATGTCACTCCCCCAATTCTGCCTTGCAAAAAGTACCTACCTTCGGTTTCAACTCTCCTTTCTCAGGTTTCCCTGACTTGGTCAAATCTTATCATGGGACTTATCTCCTAATGGACAGACTTATCTCCTAATGGACGTTCTATTCTTCCTACTTGGCTGTAAGCTTCCAAGGGGAGGAACTGTGTTGTGCTTGTCCATTGTGTTTTCAGCTCCTAGTACAGTGCTTACAATAAACTGTTTTGAATACCTGAACACTTACTTGTTCTTTCCTGCAAAGTGAAGGCAGATGATATGCCAACCTTAAGTGTACAGACTAGCTGGAAAAACAAAGTATGCTGTGAGTGTGGTAAAACACTTGTCACCCCAAAACCAGCTATTCTAGTACTTGTCATTATTTGTGTCATTGGAAGAAAGCACTTCTCTTTGGCCAAGCACAAGCTATCTTAAAGGCTATCAAATACTGTGGTAGCAGTGAATACCAATCTTAAGTTGCCAGGGGAAGGGGAGAAGAAACACTTCTTAATGTTTCAGTAATAGAAAAGCTGGTTTTCTGGCAGTTAATCACTTAAAACACGAATCCTCAAACACATTAAAATATTTATTCATATCCTCAGTTATAAATGTATATTTGTGAATTATACAAAGTCACTTGTTTCAGTACTCCTCAGGCTTCTGGGAACTTTAAATGATCCAAACTCTTATGAAGGTCCTATTTTCAAAATCCTCACCGAGGACAACCTAAGAGAAAAAATAAAGTTCTCAATTTGACGACCAAATATCTGTGTCACATCTTAAAATGATAAATTCTCACACGCCTCAGAATTGCACAAATCACACATTTCTGGATTTGACTCAAGTTAAAAAAAAATGTAGCTACTACACAAACACATCCAGCCTGCCAGCGCTTTGTATATTGTCTCTCTGGGAAGCTTCTGCCCCATTTGCTGTTACATTTTTAATAGCATGTACAGGAGTGCTAGTACTAGTGAGCCGCCAACACGTATTCAATACTATAGAAGGCACTCCAATTTTGCTTTATGATGTAACTTCTTCAACAAAAATCACCCTACCTTAAGTCACCGTTGTGCTCCCAGATGGTGTTGAGCTAACAGCAGTGTACGCTTCACGCAACCGTCTTCCACCTGGGCAAAAATTAGTTAAGAGGCCGGCAGAGTCAAGATCACAAATGAAAACAAAGTAATATAAAAGCATGAACTGTTACTTATGCAGCTCCTACACCAAAGATATCAAATTTAAGGGCAGGAAAAAGCTGCAAAGCGTTTAATTTGTGCCTTTTTTGACACCACATCCACTAGTTTCCAAAGTGAATGGGCAACACAAAGGCTACCTGAAACCGCGCAAGCAAGGTCGGCTCGACCTAGGGCACGAGGCTGCCCACTGGCTGAGATGAACCTGCTGATTAGAGCTGGAAAGGGGGCCCCGAAAGAAAGCGAAACCGAATCTTTGCATTTCAGTCTTCATTATCAAGTCAGATTTTCAATCGTAAGCGAAATTTTCTCTGAAAATCCTTAAAAGCCCGAGGCAACTGGTCTTTCTCGAACGCTAAAACTCACCTGCCAAGTTGGTGACATTCACTCAACTTCCGCCAAGTTCGGAACCTGGAAACAGGTCTCATCCGCACCGTGAGCCTCCACAGCGAGTTATTTTACACCGGGGCGGGGCAGGGCAGCACGACAGATTGATGCAGTACAACCTTTTCACGCGCACGACAGAAAGACCCTGCACACAGCCGGCGATCGATAGACCCAAAGCCACCTAAGCACGCGTCCCGAGTTCCCTCGGGAACGTGGCGAGGGCCGGGCCGCTGCCCTCCAGGCGCTCACG